TCTCTCCCTGGAGCCAGGCAGGCTGTGGGAGCAGAGGGAGGGGCCGGGAGCTGGTTGGAGCCTGGTTCTGGTTCGCTGGCAGCGCTGTGGCAGAAGTAAACCAAGGCCGGGGTTTCTGCATGTGACTCAGCCTCCAGAGCCTGATGGCTGACCCCAGGCCTAGGGGGCTTGCGCTGTGAGGCAGGGCACCTGGCAGTCCTGGGTGGGCCACTGAAGTGCCCGTGAGGGCGAGGGAGGGTCCCCGCCGCGGCTTGGTTCCCTGTCTCTACGTGTAGGGTTAGGTCAGGCCCTTCCTGCGCCGACTAGGAGCCCGAGGTCCCAATGGTACCGGTTCTTCTGGGGCAGAGGGAAAGGAACCAGCAAGGAGGGATGCCCTGAGGGTATACGCAGCAGCTCCGAGCGGGTCCTGCAGTCTCCCTGCATCCGCCTAGAAAGGAAGGGCGCTCGGCTTGCTGATCCTCTCTGTGCCAGGCTCGGGCCTTCATGCCCACGGCTCCGTCAGCCCCCACTCACCACAAGGGGCCGGGGCATCAGAGGGCCACGCTGCTGGCCTGCTGTCACAGCAGGTGGGAGGGCGTGGAAGCCCGGCTTTCCCACCCTACGAGAGCCGGGCTTTTCCCCTTGTGCAGAAGGCATTACGATAGCTGTATTACCTTAAAGAAATGCTACTTGTCAAAAGAGCAGAGCCCCCTTGAAGACCAAGCAAGAGTAAACCCCGCTGCTGAAAAGCCCCGCAGCTCAGGGGTGAGGGGCTGTGCCCGTCTTCGCTGCTGAGACTCGGCAACGGGGCAGCTGTTCCTTTAAGTCAAATTCTCTGGGGATTGCTGCAGCCTGGGGTGAGGGTGGGGGTGTGGGCTGAGGGTGGTGCTTGTCTGATGACGACTGGTCTCCCCTGCAGAGCCCTTCCTGCTCCAGCCCCAGCCCCGACAGCCTGTGACGTCCCTCCTTAGGTCTTTCCTTTCCCTAGAAGCTGCTGATTCATCCTCGGGCTGGAGTTCGTGCAGCTGTGGGGCTGGGAGCTGGACCTCTGGGTGGAGAGTCGGGCCGCCAGGGAGAGGCCCCTGAGCCTCTCTGGCTGAGGCTCTGGACAGCACAGAGCCTGGCAGGTTTCTGTCCAGAAATGCAGGTTGGGGCTGGGAGTGGGGGCGCAGGGGGACAGTCTAGGCCAAGGTCACAGGGCGAGGGCCAGGCTGACCATCCTTCTCACTGCTGTCTGGCCTCCCCTGCAGGGTGCTTGAAGGATGACCGCATCGCCTTCTGGACCTGGATGTTCTCCACCTACTTCATGGAGAAATGGGCGCCACGGCAGGACGACATGCTGTTCTACGTGCGCCGGAAGCTGGCGTTCTCGGGCACCGAGAGCGGTGTCGACGGGAGGAAGGTGCGTGACCTCCGGCCCGGCTGAGTGTCCCTGCAGAGTCTGCTCTTGGCGAGCGAGGCAGCCTCCCTTGCAGTCCCTTCCGTGCATGTCCAAGGGGGAAACGAGGTTCACTGAGCACCTACTATGTGCCGGGAGCCGTGGGGAGGCAGTCACACATGCTTGCTGGAGGTGGGATGTGCTGGGGGTGGTGCACATTATTATTAACCTTCACCGTGACCCTGAAAGGCAGCAGTGTTATCATTATTGTACCTTTGAGCAAACTGAGGTTCAGAGGCGAGGTGGTTCGGGCAGCCTCTCATAATTAGTGAATAAATGGTAGAGCAAAGCTTAGGCCCAGACCACAGGCCACCCAGTGTGGGCGCTCCACTTCCTGATCTCATGTCCTCGCAGCACCTCGACGGGGCAGATGCTCCTCTGCCCTTTACAGATGAGGTTAGCGAGCACTCAGGTGCCCGGACTCGCCCACGGCTTCTCATCCCCTGCATTTAAGTGTGTGGACGAGTTAATGCAACAAACTGCATGTTTCCTGCTCTTTTTTCAGAAGCTCTCGCTTTAAAATGTTTAAGCAGCCTGTGTGCCAGACATGGCAATGCATGGCTTTCTTTTAAACACAAACATGGGAGGGTTGTGGATGCAGCCGGGCCTGTGCAGCCTGCCTGGCTCCGGGTCCGGGGCCCTGAACCCTGCAGGCCAGGCCTGTTAGCGGGGCGGCGGGGCGGGGGGACAACTTCGAGTCCCTGAAGGCCTCGCCCTGCCGTGTGCCTGCTCTTGGGGCCTGACACACGCAGAATAGGTTTTCTGCAAATGAACAGGCCTGGCATCCCCGGCAAAGAGACACAGTGACTTCCTGCCGCGCTGGCCTCTGCATGCCGGTGGCCATACAGCTGGTCTGGCTGGCTTCGTGACATGTGGAGGGACAGAGCTACTCCCTGGGGTTGGCCCAGGTCCCTGGCATTCGGCTGCTGTGCAGGCAGCTGGCTGTGGGACTGTCGTGACTGGGACCGAGCACAGTCCCAGGGTTGGCATATTTAGTGACCAGAAGGAATGGGAGCAGAGCCCCTGGTGAGATGAGTCTTGAAGGGAAAGGTGTTCCCAGCAGCGCAGTGGTGGGCCTGACAGTGCGTAAAATCCCGTGCGTCTGGGCTTGGCTGTGTCTGTGCAGCTGCGCGGAAGGAGAGGGACGCAGGACACTGGGAGGCAGGGGCCGGACCACAGGGATGCGGAAGTCACGCCCGGGAATTAGAGCCCTGGGACACCACTGGAGCATAAACTGAGGAAGGGGATGTGGGCAGAGGGCCGTTCAGCAAGTGCTCGGCGGCAGGTGGACTGGAGAGGGTCAAAGCAGAGGCAGGGCTGCCTGGGAGGGTGCTGGTGGGGCTGCACCTGGGAGAGGAGCCGTGCAGAGGGTGTCAGCTGGTGCCCAGGACGTGGGCTTAGCCCAGCAGGGCCTCAGGTGACCGAACTGGGGCGATCACCCTCTGGCCCGTAGGCCTCTGCTGGAGCCAAGTGTAGGCAGGGTCTTTCCCCAAAGGCAGTCCCTGCGGCAGACTAAGGCCGGGTCCTGAGGCACTCTCAGCTGTTTCTGGAGTTTCAGCTCTGGTGAGGGAGGGTGCTCTTGTGTGTGTGTGTCATTTAATGTTATAATATGGCCTGTGGCTCTTGAATAATGTCCAGTTCCCAAACAGAGATTAAAGTTTCCAAAATTGCATGGCGCAGCGACGCCCAGTTCCCTCATGCGTCCATCACCACTAGAATTCTACTAGTTACTGAAGCTGGAAGGGACCTTGGGAGATAGACTAACCCAGTGGTGGCAAACTGTGGCCCTTGAGTGTGGCTCTTACACAAAATACCACGTGCAGGCGCGCACGTGCAGTGCGATTGAATCTTCGTGGCCACGCTCAAGGGGCCAAAGAGCCGCATGTGGCTCACGAGCCACAGTTTGCTGACCACTGGACTAACCTGTGAGAGGACAGAGATCAGGCCCAGGTGATGTGCCTTTGCAATCCAATCGCTTAGGTCCCCGTTTTACACATGAAAGAACTGAATTAGTTAGCGGCAAAGCTAAGATTAGCCTTTAGGTTTTCTGCTTTCTCGGTTTTGTGTATCTCATTAATTTTTATTATTATCTTTTTTAATTTAAATTCTTTATTGTTTAAAGTATTACTTAAGTCTCCTTTTTTCCCTATTGACCTCTCCCTGGCCGTCCCCACCCCCCAGGGAGGGTGTTCTTAACCTGCCTCCACCTGGATTCTCCCTGCAGGTGGTGGTGGGGGGTACAGAGGGGAGTGAGTGGGCAGACGGCTCTCACCTGGCGGGGGAGAGGCTCCTGGTCCAGGGCGGGGGAATGTGGAGGAGGGAGCAGAGCCCTGTGTAAACGCTCCTGAACGTCCGGGGCTGTTGAGGTTGGTGAGGGAGCCTGAGTCCATGGGAGCATGTGTCCAGCTGTTCATGTGCTAGAATGTTCCATGGACCACGCACAGTGAGCTGTGTACAGAAATGAATCAGACCTGGCCCTGGCCCTGGCCTTGGGGACCCCCAGTCTGCTGGGACAGGGCGTAGCCAGTAACAGAGCTGCGATGGTGGGAAGATGGGGAGCAGGTGGGGGCCCGCAAAGCGGAGGTGACCTCAGCTGAGTGTTGTAGGACAGAGAGGGGACAGCAGTGAGCTGAGGACCTGTGCGGAGGGACTGGCACGTGCGAAGCGGGACGGGTGGGCCCTGCTGCGTCTGGCTTGGTGTTTGGAGGGCAGGGGGTGGGCAGCGATTTGAGGAGGTCCCATGGGCCTAGGGGGGTGCAGGGCGGCCGGGGAGGGGATGTTGGGAAACCTGATGGCAGCTTCCCAGGTGGCTTCCTGCCCCCACCATTCAAAATGGAAAGACAAGCCCTTGGCAGGTGCAGTGCCCGCTCTCTGGGGCGCCTGCGCACTGCTTGTGCTCTGCGGCAAGCCCAGGCTGCTTCCGCCCCCTTCCATCCTTCCATCCTGCAGCCTGCAGAGCCCACAGTCGCCATAGCAACCTGCGGGCTGCCTGCGCTAGTGGGGGAGGGTGGATGGGTGGATGGGCTGCCTGCTTGTGGGCTGGGGAGCAGAGTGTGGGTGGAACAGGGTGCTGGGATCCCCGCCCTCGGGCAGGTCCTCTGAAAGGGTGACCGCCTGGGAGGTTCAGCTCGAGGCTGAGGGCGAGGCTGGGATCTGTGTGCTGACACCTGCCCCGGGAGTGGCCAGGGAGAAAGCACCGACTCCCTTCCTGCCTGTGCTCGCAGCTGGCGGAGGCTGAGCCCGAGGTGGAGGTGGAGGTGGAGGTGTACCGGCGGGACTCCAAGAAGCTGCCGGGCTTGGGGGACCCTGACATTGACTGGGAGGAGAGCGTCTGCCTGAACCTCATCCTCCAGAAGGTAAGGGCGGGGGCGGGGCTCCAGCGGCCCGGCGGGCAGTGGGTGGGCGCTGAGGAACAGCCCAGCCCTCCATGCACCCCTCCTGCTCTCTTCCAGCTGGACTACATGGTGACATGTGCCGTGTGCACGCGCTCGGAGGGGGGCGACATCCACATCCATAAGAAGAAATCCCAGGTGAGCCACCGACCGAGAGCCCCAGGCCTCCCAGCTGCCAGCTCCGCCTGGGAATGGCAGCCCCCTGCCTGCCCGGGGTTGGTTCTGAAGGGGTGTGTGTGTTTTAGACAACACGCTCCACCTGGGTGCAGGTGGGCCTCACTGCGTCCGTAAATCTCCTTTCTTTCAGCAAGTGTTCGCGTCCCCTAGTAAACACCCCATGGACAGCAAAGGGGAGGAGTCTAAGATCAGCTACCCCAACATCTTCTTCATGATCGACAGCTTCGAGGAGGTGAGTGTGTCTCCCGTCAGCGCTCCCTCCGGAAGCAGAAAGGCGGTGGAGGGTGGGAAGGGCTAGAAGCGGACGGGTCTGGACTCCTACCAACATGGCCCCCACTCTTCCAGGTATTGGGTGAGGAGCAAGGGTGCCCCCCAGCTTGGAGCCTCAGTTCTCCCACCTGTAAAATGGTGCTCATCTGTCCTGTTACCCTCAGGGTCGGAGGTCAAAGGGGCGCCTGAATGGGAGACCGCACTAAAGGCCTAGGGCAGTGCTGCCCTGCAGGAGGGTCGTTAGTATCGCCACAAAGCTCTAAACAAGTGCCTCCGCCCCACCTGCTCCAGCCCGGGACCCTGGGGGTCAGGGGCAGGGCTTTGGGAGTCATCCAGCCACGCGTCTGTTTTCAGGTTGGGCAAAGGGTGACTCGCCCAGGGAGGCAGGTGCTGGGGAGAACCAGGCTGTGTCCCACTCCTGACGGGCACAGCACCTGCCCAGCCAGTCTCCCCCCCCCCCCCCCGGGCCTCTGAGGAGGGGGGT